GTTCACCACCAATCTCCCCTCTGTTCCCACAGTGGATCCCTCCTGATTTGAGTCTTACCAGCTTCACCAGTACCAATAAATATAATTGTCTTTTATACCTCAGATTGTTTTTGTCATTGCTTCAAACCGTTCGCTTTTGACAACACCCACAGACCCTAACAGTTTGTTCTGGCCAAAATATGTCAAAGAACGGTTCGAATGCTGACCAGGTCACCCTTGAGGAGAGGGTAAGGAGAAATGAAGTTCTCTTACAGGAACTAATCGCTCAACACAAGACTACACAGTCAAATCTGGAAACGGTGGGTGGAATGATTCAGTCCATCGGCAATAGAATGGGAACACTAACTCCACCCACGCCGGCCGTCTCACCACCATTAGCGCCGCCAGCGCAAAGCACCGCCCGCTCGGAACTACCCCGTGAGCCGGATATTCGGCCGGCCACAGTTTTTGAAGGTAATCCGGAACAATTCAATGGTTTCCTCCTCCAATGTGAACTAGCATTTGCCCGTTCTCCTTCTCTGTTTCCAAACTCTGCATTCATGATCAATTATATCATTACTTTGTTGAGAGGTGTGCCTCTTGATTGGGCTCATGCCTACCTCCAGTCTCACCCTGTGGTCTCACTATCATTTAGCAACTTTATTAAGGATTTCAAGTGTATGTTTCATGTCCCTGTCCACCAGGAGGAGATGTCCCGCCGTCTGTTGGCTATGAGGCAGGGTCAAGCTACCGTGGCTGAATACGCCATCCTTTTCCGGGTTGCGGCGGAGAAAACCAGGTGGGATGAGGTGGCACTAAAGGGAGCATTCTCTAATTCACTTTCTGATCAAATAAAGGATCAACTGGCACTTAGAGATGAGCCGGAGACGTTGGATGATCTCATCAGCTTGGCGATCAAGATTGATAATCGCCTTCGGGAAAGGCGGGGCCAAGCGGAACCGATGGCTTCCGGGTCAATTTTTCCTCTAGCGTCTTCCGCTATCAAAGAACCCACGTCACAACCAGGTACCACTCACTATGACTCCGAGCCTGAACCCATGCAGATCGGACAAACCCGACTCACGTTACAGGAGAGGCAACGACGATTGGCAGCACGTGAATGCTTCTACTGTGGGAAGAGAGGACATTTTGTGCGATCTTGCCCAAACAAGTTAAACTCCAGCACTCACCAGCCATTCAGGGGATCCTGGTGAGTGAAACTCGTTGTGCCCCTGATTCACTTTTTTGTCTTGCTGCCAGAATTATTCTTCAGCAAAGACACTATTCCATTGAGGCCCTCATTGACTCTGGAGCAGAGAAAAACCTTATTTCTCAGGATTCGGTAGAAGAGCTTCAAATTCCTACCAGAAATCTTCCATACCCCATTCCGGTGGCTGGAGTCACCGGAAAGAACATCACCAGTATCACCCAGGAAGTAACTGAATTACCATTCATCATCTCCAGAAACCACAGAGAACTGGGTGAGTTCATGGTTTTTCATTCTCCCTCACCGCAGTATATTTTAGGCTACCCATGGTTGGTAAAACACAACCCCATCATTGATTGGCAGAAGAAAAGAATCGGTGTTTGGAGCGAATATTGTTTAAGGAACTGTTTAAGGTCTGCTGGTTTTCTGTCAGAGACAATAAAGGAGGTGACCTCCTCTCCACCTGATTTGTCGAAGATACCCAAGGTGTACCATGATTTAGCGCCCGTATTTTGTAAGAATAAAGCGTTATCTTTACTTCCACATCGCCCATACGACTGCTCAATTGAACTGTTGCCGGGAGCTCCTCTCCCTTCGATTCGCCTGTATAACCTCTCTCAGAGCGAAAAAGAAACCATGCAAAATTATTTAGACGAATCATTACAATCTGGCATCATTTGCCCCTCAACGTCTCCATTAGGGGCAGGATTTTTCTTTGTAGATAAGAAGGACGGTTCACTCCGCCCGTGTATTGACTACCGAGGTCTAAATGCTATAACTATAAAGAACAAATACCCACTTCCGTTAATCAACTCAGTACAAGAACAACTTCTTTCTGCCACTGTTTTTTTCAAAGTTGGATTTAAGAAACGCTTATCACCTTTTGAGGATCAAGGAAGGAGATGAGTGGAAAACAGCATTTAAGACCCCTTTTGGACATTTTGAATATTTAGTCATGCCATTCGGACTCACTAATGCTCCTGCAATTTTTCAGACTCTCATCAACGACATTCTCCAAGATCTGATCAATAAATTTTTGTTTGTGTATCTAGATGACGTTCTGATTTATTCTACCGACATCCAGACCCACCAAACCCATGTTCGCACTGTACTACAACGATTGTATGAAAACCGACTTTATGTCAAAGCTGAAAAGTGTGAATTCCACGTAACCTCTGTCTCTTTCCTTGGTTTTATCTTTAACGAGGGACACTACCACACTGACACTGAGAAGGTCCGAGCAGTACTGAAGTGGCCAACACCTACGGACAGAAAGCAACTTCAGAGGTTCCTGGGGTTTGCAAACTTCTACCGTCGTTTTTTCTGGAACTACAGTCAGACGGCAGCCCCTCTCACCCAACTTACATCCACGAATCACAAATTCAACTGGACCCCCGAAGCCGATCAAGCCTTCTGTGAGTAAAAGCAACGTTTTTGCTCTGCACCCATTCTCCATCATCCAGATCCCCAAAGACAGTTCATTGTTGAGGTAGATGCATCTGATATTGGTGCTGGGGCAGTACTCTCTCAAAGGGATCCCCACGATAATAAAACTCACCCATGTGCTTTCTTTTCAAGACGTTTCTCTCCAGCTGAACAGAACTACGACGTTGGAAACCGTGAGTTGTTGGCCATAAAACTAGCCCTCGAGGAATGGAGACACTGGTTGGAGGGGGGCCAATATTCCATTTATCATTTGGACCGATCAAAAGAACCTAGCATATTTACAAGACGCCAAGCGCCTTAACCCCCGTCAGGCCCGGTGGGCGTTGTTCTTCACGAGATTCAGGTTCACCATCACTTATCGCCCTGGTTCCAAGAATGTTAAGCCAGATGCTTTATCTCGACAATTCTCCATTTCCGACCGAAATAAGGGAGACTCTGGGATCTTGCCACAAGCCTGTGTGGTCCGAGCTGTCACCTGGCCCATTGAACAAGAGATCAAGAAGGCCCAAGTTCAGCAACCTGATCCTGGGGGGGGACCACCTGGCACTATCTTCGTCCCAAGGAGCGTCATCCACAAGGTTTTGGATTGGGTTCATTCTCATCACTTCACCTGTCATCCCGGCATCAACCGAATGATCGAATTCACCAGGAAACATTTCTGGTGGAAGACATTGTCCAATGACATAAAGGAATTTGTCAAGGCCTGCTCCACATGTTCCCGAAATAAAAACAACAATCAACCACCGGCGGGTCTACTTCATCCATTACCAGTTCTAGACAGACCGTGGGCAAACATTGCCTTGGACTTCGTGACGGGTTTGCCACCTTCAGATGGGAAGTCCGTAGTCCTCACTGTTGTGGACCGATTTTCTAAAGCTGCCCACTTCATAGCACTCGCAAAACTCCCTTCGGCTTTTGAGACAGCCCCGAGTCTATTACAAGAGGTTTTCAGGATTCACGGCTTACCCACAGACATTGTATCGGACAGAGGCCCACAATTCATATCCCAATTATGGAAGGAGTTCTGTAAGTCCATCAGGGCCACTGTAAGTTTGTCATCCGGATACCATCCACAATCAAACGGACAGTCTGAGAGGTGCAATCAGGAGTTGGAGGCCGTCCTTAGGTGCATGTCTGAGAAGAACCCATCTGACTGGTCAAAACACCTACTTTGGGTGGAATATGCGCACAATACCTAACCTCATCTGCTACTGGCCTGACACCCTTTGACGTTTCCCTCGGATACACGCCCCCCCTATTTCCTCTGTTGGAAACTGAAATCCTGGTTCCATCAGTCAAGGACCACAAGAACCGATGCAAGACAGTTTGGATTCAAGCTAGAGAGG